GGACCCAGCGGCGGGGTGAGGCTGGTAGGCGCTCCTGCCCCTGCCGAGACCAGGCCAGGCAGCATCCACGCCCTCCTGCGGAAGATCACAGGGAACAGGTGGGCGCTATCATCTGTGCCCTGGTTTTCCGGAGGAGCCGAGGGAGGCTGAGCGGGTGAGGAAGCGGCCACCTATGCCCGACCCACTCACCTGCACATCTGCCTGGCGAGGGCAGGGAAGAGCCGCGGCCTTCCTCTGCTGCTCCTTCCAGAGGGCAGGGACCGTGGTGGGGGTGCCCGCCCGATGGCATCGCCGGAGGCTGAGCTCCCAGCAGCGGCTGAGGTCCTCCCTGGGTGGGAGCCACCCTTGTCCCCAGCTGGGGCAGAGGCTGGTGAAGGAGGGGGTGGTACCCGTGCCACGCCAGCAGAGCCCCAGGCGGTGCAGGGAGAGCTTCAGTCCGGCTGACGTGGCACTAGGGCCAGTCTGCTCAGCTAACATTTGCCTTTCAGGAGTCAGATTCCTGACCTGTTTGAACAGCGTTAGGGAGCACGTGGTAAGGCCCAGCCCCAGCCCCGCTGCCCCCATCTGCTGTTTCCCGGTGGTCGAGGCGCTCTGCACCCTCCGCGGAGGGAGGTATCATTGTTTGCCCTTCACAAAGAGGGGGATGCAGAGGTGGGTGCTGCCTCTCAGGTGTCAGGCTCACCCCTTCCGCTCACGAGTTCAAAGAACCCAAGAACCAGGAGCCCAGGGCTCGACCTTCTAGGGTCCTCCAAAACCCTGTGGTCCCACCCAGGTGGGCACTAAGCTATGGGAGAGACCATAGCTGCAGAAACCAATTCTGCCGTAGGCGTAAAATGCAAGGTCTCTCTGGACCCCAGGGCAGGGATGGTAGAAAGCAGCTTCTGTTGGCTCCTAGGGGTGTGAATCACCACATCACCTGCAGCGGGCCCGCTGCCCTTCTTCCCCCCCCCCCCCCAATCCTGAGTGATGGAGACAGCTAGCAGCAGTTTGTAGCCTGGTGTGGAGTGGAGGGTTCCTGCACCCTGCACCTGAGCCCATCCAGCCTCTGGGCCATAGGCTCTTTTGTTGAAGGTCCAGCCTGCCCCTGAGATGCTGTGTGCCCTTTTTCAACTTCCTTAGTCTCTGAGCATCAGGTCTTCATCTGTAAGATAGAGCAAGATGAGCACCTAAACGTTTCAGGTCTGAAACGGGGTTGCCAGGACGACAAGCATGGCAGGGGCGAATGGGGACATCAGGTGACTGGCTGCGAGCCAGCAGAGGCCTCCACCCAATGCTGGGAGGTGTCCCGCCCGTGGTGGCCATCACTGTTCCTGGTGGGGCTTTGTTGCCATTGCCTGCAGCATCCGCTGGTTTCTCCATTCTCCCAGTTTCTGCCCCTGCTCACACTTGGAGGCTGGACACAAACGTTACCACCTCCCTGAACCCCCCTAGGTGGGCTGGAATCAGCACCTGGTGCAAAGCTCTGTGGCCACTGCTGTACGGCGTGATGCAGAGCACACAGGACAGGCTCGTGTACGTCCAGGCTGTGCCAGGAAACCCGCTGCCTTTGTGTCATCACAGCCTTGGGCACGGTGTGTCCTTGGTGCCTCCGCCAGGTCAGCTCCTCCCATTAGCTGTGCTGTCCGGCATGAGGGCCGCTGGTGCTTGCTGTGAGACCGAGCTACGCTCTAAGTGTAAACTACATGGTGGGTTGTGAAGGATGCAAATATCGAATCGATCATTTTTTATTGCACATTAAAATGAGAATATCTTGGATGTATCAGATTACATTAAAATACTATTAAATTTTATTTCACCTTTTTTTTTTTTTTGACATGGTTGCTAGGAAATGTAAAACTCCATATGGGGCTGGTGTCATGTTTCCACCGGACAGTGCTGGTCTAGGAGGCAGGCACTCAGCGCCCGTAGCCTGTGCTTATAGCCTCCTGTGATAGGGGGCCTGAAATGCCGGAGGCTGCCGAGTGGACCTGGCTGTTTGCTCACAACCGGCGGGCCAGTGGCGGTCCTCCAGGGAGCCCCCGGCAGAGCAGCGGTCTCAGTGAACGCAGGACGGCCCCTCGCCATGAGCCTCTGCCCCTCTTTCCTACCTGGTGTAAAATAGCAGTGGCAAGTATGTCTGGGTGCTTGTGGAGGTTTACTGGGCAGGCCTGCTCCCCGCTGGATGCCGTCCTCCGCCCCTGACACAGACCCTTAGTCCTGGACACTGACGCTGGAGGCTTGGCCTCGAGAGAGGAAGAGGAAGTCTGTGAGACAGGTTGGCTGGGTGGTCCGGGCAAGAAAACATGAAGGCCTCCAAGGTGGAAAGAACTGACATGGAATACTTCCTGGAGGAGGAGGGAATAGGGCTGGGAAGCCGGAATGGGGAGAGGAAGCAGATCTGGAGGCGGGGTCCTTAGAGTCTATTCTGTGGCATTTGTTCGTCAGACCCCTGCAGTAAAGGGGTCCCTGTCTGCATGCCACCAGGCTGGCCAGAGGGTGGGCCAGGCCTCCTCTTCTTACCCTCATGGAGGAGAGGAAGTCACCTCTGTGGGGGAAGGCCAGACCCCCCCAGGGCCACGGTGGGCAGCGTGGAGGGAGCCTCAGGCCCACTCGCGTCCATGTACAAGGCCTGCCAGGCACACAACATAGGGTCCGCAAACAGATGCCCACCACGCTGCCACCGCCTTCCCGTGTTCTCCTCACCTCTGAGCCCCACCCTAACCACACTGCTCATCCGGGGTGCGCAGCAAGACAGCACTGTCCACTGTCTAGGCCTTCCCAGGGGCTGATGTGAGGCTGAAGGTGCAGCCTCGCCCTGGCAGATGTGCCCTTGCTCTGGGCTGCTGGTGACTGGGCCCCACAGAGCCTCCTCCCAGCACAGACAAAGGCATCGCCTTTTGGGGCCCCACCTGGTTAGCAGAGCACAGGGAAGATGCCTCCAGTGATGGTCGGCTAACTAGCGTGTGTCCAGCTGTACTGCAAGCTTCCAGAAGCCGGAGACCCTCGGCCACCACCCAGGTGTTCAGCCTTGGACAAGCTACCTGGCCTCTCCGAGCCTCTGCCTCCTCCCCTGTAAAAAGAGGTGACAGCCTTGCCCTTTCCTGGCCTCTGCAAGGACTCCCTGGACCTGACCTCACAGGGTGGCAAGCGTGTCCTCCACACAAGGCCTCCCCCGAGGCACGGGGCACGTTGACGGCATTGCCAGCAACCTCGTTACTGCAGGAACGTCACGCTCCTCATCTCCAGCATCTTCAAGCATGTCGGGCACATAGCAGGAATCAGAGAACATTTTTCTGGAATCATTGAGCCAAGTACTTACCATGTAAGGTGCTAAAAAGCACTAGGGATGAAGCAGAAAGCTCAAGGCTGATGTCGATGTCACAGTAACCTGGGACTGCAGGCCACCAGGGCCACAGGAGGAACTGCTGGGTGTCCTTGAGCTGCAGCGGGGCCCTGGTAAGCCCACGAGTCCTCCGTCCCCAAACCATGCACAGATGTCTGCTGAGCCCCTGCTGTACCCCAGGCACTGCTAGGAGCTGGGCTGTGGCCGTGAGACAGGCCCAGCCTCTGCCCGGGGGGAACATGGATGCTGGGCGGTCACAGATGTGCCCGTGAAGAGGGCACCGTGTGGCGCCTGCTGGGGACAGGCAGGAGGAGAAGGAGCATTTCTAGCTGAAGTGAACAGTCCACATGAGGCTTCCGTGGGGCGAGGGGCCGGTGGGTGTGGGCTGGTGTGGACTCTGTAGGCCCTGCTAAGAGACTTGCAGTGATGTCTGTAAGTATGGGAAGCTTCCAGAGGGTTTTCAGCCAGGAGTGACGCAACCAGTTTGGGCCCCAAAGGCTCTCCAGGTTAGGGTTAGGGCTAGGGACTAGGGAGAGCCAGGGCCCAGGAGGCAGCCTTGGATGGCCTAGGAGAAAGAGGTGCTGAACCTGGGAGAGTCCCCGAGAACCCGGGAGAGTCCCCGAGGGCACAGCCCCAGCACGGCACAGGGTTCACACACGTCAGGCAGGAGAGAGTCCTAAGCATCGAGTGCTGATTTCAGTGACTGGCATGGATTTGGTGGCCTGGGGACTGTGGATAGGGAAGAGAAAAGGGCCAGGGTGGATCTGGGAAGAGCTCCAGTATTTGATGTCAGGCCGGTCATGGCGTTAACTCCTGGCAAAGTATCTGACGCCAGGCTGGCCATGGTGTTGACTCCTGGCAAAGTGACCCGACAACCCCATTCTCCCCTCTGAGCAGCCGTCTCCCTGTCAGAAAAGTCACCAGGCTGGATGGCATCAGCTCTGTGGGCCCTCCCGGTCCTCTGAGGGCAGGTGACTCCTTGTGGTTTGACATGGACCGGGAATCACATAGCCCCGGCTCACTGAATGGGTGAACTTGGCTAAGTCGGCTATCCTCTTCGAGCTCCAGCTCCTCACATGTAAAACAAGGTAATAACACTGTCGCCCAGGATGGCCCTGGGCGTGGGGTGAGGGCCGTTTGGAAAGCATGGCGCTCACCTGCCCTGTGGTCACTCGGGAGGATCTATGGGGCGCTGGCAGAGCACTGCCACCAGGGGGAAGCAGACAGCTGCCTCCAAGTCTGCCAAAGTAACAGTTGCACGCTGGCCAGGTGCGGTGGCTCCCACCTGTCATCTCAGCATTTTGGGAGGCCAAGATGGGAGGATCACTTGAACCTAGGGGTTTGAGACCAGCCTGGGCAACATAGCAAGATTCCATCTCCACAAAAAGAAAAAAAGTAAAATTATACACTTTTTTTTTTTTTTTTGAGACTGAGTCTCACTCTATCCCCCAGTGCAGTGGTGCAATCTCAGCTCACTGCAACCTCCTCCTTCTGGATTCAAGCAATTCTCCTGCCTCAGCCTCCCAAGTAACTGAGATTCTAGGTGCCCACCGTGGTGTCCGGCTAATTTCTGTATATTTAGTGGAGAGGGGGTTTCACCATGTTGGCCAGGCTGGTCTCGAACTCCTGACCTCAGGTGATCCTCCAGCCTCAGCCTCCCGAAGTGCTGGGATGACAGGCGTGAGCCACCATGCCTGGCCGTAGTTATAACTTTACTAAGGTCCATTTTATTAAATGAAGAAATGCTAAACAGAACAACGAAGGCTGTGGTAGAATGTGCACGTTTGTGTGGACCCAGGGCATATTTTCACCAGAAAATCCCACGCAATAGAGTAGAAGATATACCAAAAGCCACAGCAAATATCATGCATGACGCCGCAGAAAATTGTAACTCCTAATAAACACTGAGAGTGTGTCCTTTGCTGTGAGGTCCAGGGATGGGCCACAAGGTCAAGGTTATGTGAAGAACACCAGAAACCTGCCTCTGAGGCCCTGGGCACCTTGTTGGGCATAAATAAAGCTTTGCAGTTCAGTCCTGCAACCTCCCTGAGCCTAGGCTTGTCCATCTTAAAATGTGGACGGTTAGGACACCTGCTGAAGGGGACACCAGGCTTAACTGTGCCAACGCAGCATGCAGGAGGAGAACAAACAATGCGACTGAAAACCTCGTAACGATAACAAGAGCCGTTCCCTTTCTGAGCCCTCACCATGCGCCCAGCGTGCACCAGCAGCTCACCATGGCAGGCCCGGGGCCAGCACCCAGATCCCCACTTGACCCCTGAGGACACTGAGGTGCAGCAACAGCCAGGACAGCAGCTGCCAGGTGGAAAGCAAAGACACAAAGCAGCCAGATCGGGAGTCACATCGGGGCAGGCGAGTGAGGCGCCGCCCAGCCGCCTTCAAGATGCAGACTGAAGAATAGCCTTTCCCAAAGCATGCTTGCTCACTGACCCCGCGTCTTCAAAGCCTGAGTAACGTGGGAGGCCCTGCAATGCCCCCTCTGACAGACCTCCACTGATGCCAGCACTTTCAATGCACCGGGACCAAGCTGGACCACACCGTTTAGGTTTCGTTTTGAAACACTTACTTTTGCAGACGAATACGTTGGCGTCCCACTGGGAACTGCTGCTGGTGGATGCTCACCGTAGGAAGCAGCTGTGTGGCGCTCCCCCTTGTCTACCTCTGCCCAGCGCTGCCCCCTCCAGCAGAGTTCCTCAGGTATGGTTCGTGGATTGGGTCCACGATGAGATAAGGAGCCATGCAGAATGAAATCAGCTCCGC